TGCAGGTTACTGCATCGTGCAGGTTACTGCATCGTGCAGGTTACTGCCTCCTGCAGGTTACTGCATCGTGCAGGTTACTGCCTCCTGCAGGTTACTGCATCGTGCAGGTTACTGCATCGTGCAGGTCACTGCCTCCTGCAGGTCAATGCCTCCTGCAGGTCACTGCCTCCTGCAGGTCACTGCCTCCTGCAGGTTACTGCCTCCTGCAGGTTACTGCCTCCTGCAGGTTCCTATACTTTTGACCTGCTGCAGGTTTCCTGTCAACGGGCGACGCCGCAGCCCCCGGCAACTGGGGTCTGCTGGACCAGCGTCTGGCGCTGACGTGGCTGCAGGATCACGTCGCGTCCTTCGGGGGAGATCCTACGAGGGTCCTGCTGGCGGGCAACTCTGCGGGGGGCGCCTCCGTCCTGCTGCACCTCATGTCCCCGCGGTCCCGAGGTGTGATGTGGTCCTGGGGGTGCTGTGGTCCAGGGTGGTGCTGTGGTCCTATGGGTGCTGTGGTCCTGGGGGATGCTTTGGTCCTAGGGGGTGCTGTGGTCCTGGGGTGTGCTGTGGTCCTGAGGGGTGCTGTGGTCCTGAGGGGTGCTGTGGTCCTGGGGGTGCTGTGGTCCTGGGAGGTGCTGTGGTCCTGGGGGTGCTGTGGTCCTGAGGGGTGCTGTGGTCCAGGTCCCCGTGACTGAGGGGTGCTGTGGTCCCCGTGACTGAGGGGTGCTGTGGTCCCCGTGACTGAGGGGTGCTGTGGTCCTCGTGACTGAGGGGTGCTGTTGTCCCCGTGACTGAGGGGTGCTGTGGTCCCTGTGACTGAGGGGAGCTGTGGTCCCCGTGTAGGCGAGAACACAAATCTACACAAACTATTGTCTTGAATTATGCATTCAATACAAACATTCAATACTTTCAACATCTCGTGTTTATGTGGACATGTAATTGTAGTAATGCATAAAATTTAAAAATAGTTCTGCTACGTCATAATAACTTCATCAAGTTTGTGTTGGTGTAATATAACTTAAGAAGTTACTGAGAAGCGAAACATTTAAACACCGCATGAAATGTCACTTGTGTCATGTACCAAAGTACATTTAAATTTCCGCTAACCGGGACCGATGTTGCCTCCCGGTGCGTCGTGATGCCTGCACAAGACATCGTTGCAGTGCTTTTGCTGAAATCTGACTCCAACGTTTAAAGTGCTTCGTATTGTTAAATTTATTTGAAATCGCGGGGAAGTTTTTTGGATTAAATGTCCCTAGTTATATATAATCAAGGCGAATATTTGGATCCTCGTTCGATTCATAGTATTCGACACGTCATGAGTCACGATGATTGTTGAACTCGTCAGATATTGTGAGGGTGAGGAAGTGGATTCATGATATCCTTCCCCCCAGGCCTGTAACTCTCTTCGCCCCCATCCTCCCCAGGTCTCTTCTCTCGGGTGGCAGCGATGTCAGGCTGCGCCCTTGGGCCGTGGGCGATCCAGCGACGCCCTCTGCACTTCGCCCGCCGCCTGGGGCTCTCCCTTGCCTGCGACGACCCCGACAGCAGGCGGCTCGTCGACTGCCTCAGAGGCGTCGATGCCCACGACCTACTCACCGTAGGTACCCTCTTTTGGTTGTATTAAATATTCAACGCACTTATGTAATTAATCTATTCATACAATTATCCGTGGTCTTAAATTATTCAAATAAAGTTGTTGAGTCTTTCAACACAATCAACACCTTCGTCGCTTTGAGTTGATGGATTAATCCATAAAATTATTAACCACGAATAGAAACGAGGAGATTTCAATGGCGTAGCTTACGTGGCTTATTAGTATTATCTAATTCAGAAGAGATCAGTTAACTCGACAATTCCTGTTCCTTTCAAGTTTGTTGCATTAGTACTCTCGTTCAGCTGAGTCATGCCCATAAGGTTTTTAGCATTCGCACTTTCATTCGGTCAATTCATGCCCTAAAATTTGTTGCATGTGAGTTTTCATATGGTCACTTCATACCACGAAATATTGCCGCATTCAAGCTTTCACTCAGTCAATTCCTCCCAAAAATTTCTTACATATAATTTTAGTTTGGTCTCTTCCTAACCCCAAGAACGCGACGGAGCAGCTCACGGACGGACTGTGGATTGCGTTTGCGGCGGTCGTGGAGGGGGAGGACGCCCCCGACGCCTTCCTGCCTCTGCACCCCAAGCAGGCGCTGATGGGGGGCCACTACTCCACTGACGTGCCCGTATTTCTCACCGTCACGAGGGACGAAGTCTCCATCTGGTACAAGAACAGTGAGTCGAGCGAGTGGTCCCGAAGATAGGATATTCTTCGATGAAATCGCTACCACTTCATGGGATAATTATTCAACGATTATCAAATGACGGGCAATGATTACTGGAGGATTATCAGATGACGGGAAATGATTTGCTGGACCACTATCAGATGACGGCAATGATTGCTGGATGATTATCAGATGACGAGGAATATTTTCTCGATGATTATCAGATGACAACCGTTGATTGTTGGATGATTATCAGTGACAGCCAGCGATTGCTGTATGATTTTCAGAAGACAGCCAACGAATGCTGGACGATTATGAGACGACAGCCGGCAATTGCTCGGCGGTCCTCACAGGACATTAATCAATTTCTGAACGATAGACGGCAGTTTAATTGCAAAACTTTGCATTTCTTCCAGCTGCGTTCGAGCCGAAGGTGTTTCAGCTGGAGAATTGGATCGGTCGCATCGTGCGGCACATCTTCGCGCCCCTGGAGCTAAACGCCGACACCCTTTCGGTGGTGACACACGCGGTGCTGGGGGAGTACCTCTACAGTCAGGGATACGAACCTTCACTCAAATATGAGGCGTCTGATCTCATGTTCGAGCATCCCGCCTTCGTGCCCTCGGACATGCTGACCGATGGGCGCCAGACCCTCAACGGCACCGCCGCCGTGTCCATAATTGCCAGTGTGAGTGTCGGAAGATTCAGCAAACGCAAGAACTAATAAGAATTTGCCTGACAATGATATTAGTAGCTAAATTGAGCTGTTATTCGATCATTTTTATGTTGAGCAGCCTTCCAGTCTTACGCCGTGTTCTCGTGAAACTCTTTATGAGTATTATTTTGATGTCATCGTATGCATTAAATTGTTAGCAATTACCATATACCTAACTGTAACGAGTTGTCAGCTGTCAGCAATAAACGAGTCTCGCTCAGTTGACTTCGACCATTTCCAGCGTCAATATTCCCAAGATAAGATATAATTTAAGATACTCTGTATATTATTATAATAGCTGATATATGGCAGCTGATCTCCGACGTGGGACTGCTGGTGCCGTGCGTGGAGGAGGCCGGGCTGCTGGCGCAGCGCTCGCGCGTCTATGTCGCGCAGTTCGCCTTCGTCTCGCCCGATGACGTCAAGATCCTCGACGAGCCTTGGATCGGTGAGCTCGAAATGTAGAAATATATTGTGTAATACTGTTATAAACTTATTTTATAGTACGTGATATATCCATGTTTATTACAATGAGTTAATTTTTATTAAATGAACGTGCAAAGCAATACGTGATGCGCTCCTAGAACTTGGCCAAAAATTTCTTTCTTCTTTCTAGTATCGGCACTACGAAGTGACGTTTACTTTCTAGTATCTGCACTATGATATGACGCTTACCTTCTAGTATCAGCACTACGACATGACGCTTACTTTGTGTTATTCATACATTCGTATCCAAGAGCTTCAGTAATGGACCTGCTTGCTTTATTAATGGACATGGATAAGTGTAGTGATGTTTACCCCGTATCGTGATGCCTCAGTTTATCGTATCCTTGGCATGTGTTAGGGACATAGCAGTCTCAGGCCACGATGGTATGCGATAATGCTTCCCGTGCGTAGTGATGTCCCCCGTGTGTGGTGATGTCCCCGTGTGTGGTGATGCCCCGTATAAAGTCTCACCACATGCCATGATGCCCCCGTCTGCTGCCCCAGGAGCGTACCACGAGCACGAGCTACAATATCTGTTCGGGCTGCCGTACTGGCACCTCAAGAACACCCTGCGTCATCCCTCCAACAAGTACTTCTCTGACGTCATCATGACCATCTTCAGCCAGTTTGCCGAGCAAGGGTGAGTCATGATGACCTTCTTCAGACAGTTCGCCGAGCAAGGGTGAGTCATGATGACCTTCCTCAGCCAGTTCACTTAGCAAAGCTGTGTCTCGCACTCGCGGCGTTCGAACATGTAAGCCATGTTCGAATAAGTTGGTCATGGTTAGGTTTCAGATGAATATGTTGCTCACATGTTGCCCTCGAGGTTGACTAATGTGTTCCTTCAGGTACCCTAACGGGCCGGAGAGCAGCGACCCCTGGCCGCAGTACAGGAGGCCTGGCGACGCAGTGCTCAGCGTGGGGATCAACACCACCGTCAAGTACAACTTCCTCCTCGACAGGTGGGTACCTACACACGAAGGTAGCGTCAAGTACAACTTCCTCCTCGATAGGTGGGTACCTACACACGAAGGTAGCGTCAAGTACAACTTCCTCCTCGATAGGTGGGTACCTACACACGAAGGTAGCGTCAAGTACAACTTCGAGAGGTGGTTGCCCACCAAGTTTCTCCAATAGTTTTTTTTACCTATGTTAGGCACGGCTTTGGCAGGAGGGTAGTGCAAATGAGTTTTATTAGCAATAATAATTCAATCATTTTTCGTTCCAGGGTCACGTTTTGGAAGAAGTTTTTGCCCTTGCTGACCAATTGGCCGTTTCCGACACGGAACGGAGCGTCCTCCATGTGGGACTCTGTCAGGCCGCTGACGTGTGCAGCGTTGGTATTGCTGCCGTTGATGAATGCATTGCTGACTCATGCCATTCAACGGATGTGTACATTAGTCGCCAGATAGCCTGTCGTGCCGTGCCAGTGTAATGCAATAATGTACAGTGTGGATGCTTGTACCACCGACGAATTGTACTTAATTAACTACAGAAAAGCTCGTCAGTGCAATGAGTATTGTTCGAAATAATATAAACTTAGCGTTTAATTTAAATGAAATTTTACAGTAGAAACTGTAATAACGCAGGGGAGTTTGTCCCTTGTAAACGTGCGTAATTACGTGGCCAATTTACTGATATTTGGCAAGAGAGTTCAGAATGTGCGGACTTGTTTGAGTTAGTGCGAGCGTCTGAAGATTGTGGGTACATCCTGCCCATTCTAACTGCTTTTAAATAATATACAAACATGTTCTAAATTATGTACGATAAGTTAGTTTAGTGCAAAGTAGTAAGATTTAACAGTGGAAGGGAAAGATCTATATCTCAAAATTATCAAAATTGACAATTGGACTTGCATTGTTATTCAAGTCTCATTCATTTCAACGTGTCCTCAAGTTGAACGAGGCAAAATTTATATCGTTGTTAATAATGATGACATAAATAGCAAACATTGATAATAAATAATCGACGACACATAGAACGAGAGTAAAACATTAGAATGCTTCTTGCGCCCATACAATTACGAAAGAGTAAGAATTTTGAAAATTAACACCATAATTAATTTTTCATGATTACAATTATTCAAGCCTAAAATATTTATCTGCTTAGGTATTTTAATGCGTGTTTTTAATGTATCTAAAATGAAGTGATGTCGCTAAATGCTGTGACTCATTCCTCCACCTGCAAAAACTGACTAAGCACCAGCCAGATTCTTAGCAAACCATGATGATTTAATATATACATGGACAGTTAGCTTATTACTTACGTGGAAGTTGAGTTCGGTTGAATATGTGAACGTTCAAAGCCGAAGAAAATATCAATAACCAATATACCATTCAACAAGGATAGTCAAACGTATCTAAAAATCAACCCATGTCTTCAAAAATACGTCTACATAAAGACAATCGATGATTAAATTAGATGAAAGTTAACGCGGGTTAAGAATTATGCAATTCAGATGAACAGAAAAACTGCTCTATCGAGTTCGAGCGAAAACAAATATTCAACAGGAAACTATAATTACTTTATTGCTTTGCAGAGAATTCGCTCTCATTGTGGAGGTGAAGTGCCGAGCATCCCCAGCACTATCTCGGGCGGCGCTAGGCAAAGCGATGTTCTACATGATATTTAATACATGCTATAGAATTTTGAGTAGATGAATCGCAATTTTAACCAATGAGAATGGTAAGGAAAATTATGGCTTACTTTCCTCAAAAATGGAGATAATAAACAATATGAAATGATGAAGAGACTAGCAGTTGATGCAATAAGTAAATGTGGCTGTGTTTCAGGACGACCAAAAAGTTGTCGACATTCTTCTTGAAATCTCACAGCCTTATTGGAGGTCTAGGCTCCGTCCTTGACGTACGTGACAGCGGCAGCATATTTGTGCATCTGCCCAAAATAAGTAGGCTTACACAATTATATTGATAGGGGTACAGCTCGACTCACCACTCAATGACCTTTTTGTGCAGAAATGAAAATTTAGAGACATTTTGCAGAAACACTTCCACATCTCAGAAATAATATCATCATAGGCATCAAATAACAATATTAGGCGTGATAAATTGGTAAAGTAATAATAAGAAAAATCACAGTCTTCATAAGGATACCTAGGTTGAGGTTGGATCCAAGTAGAAGACCTCTGCACTCTAGGGGCGTTCATAAACAAACTTGGCTTGCAGAAACACTCGTGGGGCATCAATGCCCTCCTTGATGTTAGTGGTGCGGCGGTGAAGGTATCCACCCTCCGTACATCGGAATCCATAGTCAGCAAAAAGCTTCACCACTTCTTCCAGCGTAAAGTAGTATGCCCTGAAATGGCATAACAGAGGTTATTAGGTAGCCAGCAGCCTTTACAACAATGTTACTACAAAGATTTTTAGAGTCAGAAGTAAGAACACACGTACATAGATTAATAATTAAAACTATTTTAAAATATCAATTGACAGAAGCAACACTCTGGAGTGACTGAGCTGAGGTTATATTCAATACTATTCCTACAATTTGTAATTTTTTTATTGTTTTAAATAACTATGGCTTCAAAATCCTACCACACCCAAAAATCTCTGAAAGATTATCAAGTTTATTAAGGAACACTAAAAAATACCAACATTAATGTACCTATCTTATTTTACCGACTGCAAAACGAATTAAATAGTTAACCCTATGCATAGCTCACCTGGTGCCATCTTGCCTGACATAGAAGCGATGGGAAATTTTTGACCCAGGTTTGAAGCGGATCATTGCCATGTCATTGACGGCATAGTCTCTGAAGAGCAGCACAGAGCCATGATGACAGACGCTTGCCACATTAGCAGCCACGAAGCCATGATGTGAGGGACTGATGGCTGACAGCACAAACACGCATGTCACCAGGTCTATACTTCTCTCAGGTATGTGCGGTGATAAGCAACTTTCCTAGATAGTTGAGTCAATCTTAGAATAGTCAAAATAACTAAACTTTATAAGACGAATTAGATCTATGTTTACTGTGTTATTTCTATGTCATTGATAAGGATAGATCATTACATTCAAATTTATTATGCCTAATCATGGAACAAAGCTTGTAATAAATATTTAATATAAACTCTACCAACCTGTGTAAGGTCAGCAACAAAGGCCACAATGTTTTCCGAGTCATATTGTTCATGCTGCTTGATGAGGTCAATAGCCCGAGCAGAAAAGTCACAAGCATAAACTTTCAAGTTAAGGCCAGATTCAAGCAGGGGGTAGAAAAAATTTCCAACTCCACAGCCTGTCTCCAGGAGCAAACGTTTTTTGGCTGGTGTAATAGAGGAATCGTTTTCAGGCAATCCTAGTAACTCTGAAAACTCTCGAATGGTCCAGTGCCGGTCTTTGAAGAAACTGAAATGAACAAAATATTAGTTAGAATTCGCTATCAAAACAAAATTTACTTTGAGCACAAAGCATGAAGGTATGACAAGCATGTGCAACAGCAGCAATGAAAAATGAACAAAATTTAATTTCCTAATCAGTCTTTGCTGAGCAATCCTTGCAGTTCAAGAGCATCATTGTGGTATGGTTCTTAAGATAATCCTCCAACTTTTTAATGCAAATGCAACTATGGTTGTCAAATAACATTTTAAATTTAAGTACAGTAGTAAAATTCTTAGTCTAGGTATATATATAGGTACTTAAAATTGGAACTATACATAGACCATGGATGTAAAGTACTTTATGTGTATACAAATTGGCATCATTTGTGACACTGTGAGTGTATTTATTGCTTTAAATTGATCAACATTGAACATTGAAGAGACTACATTGCATTAAAATACTCAACATAAGCATATAGAATTTTTAAGTTGCTGCCCTCAATATCCTCTCTTGGAAACATTATGTTGCATTGACAAAATCATAGACAAGGTCCTTTTAGCAAGATTTAAAGACCTTGAAAATATGATATTATTGAAAGGCCTCCTTGATGACCATCTGACCATAGAATGACTAAATTTTGCCACCTCTGTGTCCCTGGCCTAATTTCCAAAATATAGCATCGAAATTCAACAAATGTGCATATTATTCACAATTGAATTTTAGAAATCACTTATGATACAACCACTTCCAACTGTCATTTCATACAAAATCTGCTTGAAATCTCAATCTCAATGCCAGTAACATTATCGCTCAAGTTGCGAGCCTTAAAAGTAAACAATACATATATTTGTAAAATAAAACAACCATATTTTTCTAGTGCAATCAAAGCAACTTCATATTAATCATATGTTTGTTCAAAAAATTGTTGAACCTTGCAAATTCAAGTTTTGAAAAGTCAAATATTGCTTTAGTGATGCACGGTAAATTTTCTGCAGTTTCTGCTTGGTGGCAAGTGGCAATTTATGTGTCATTAATGTATTGATTTTACAGATATTGAATGTAACCATTTGCAATTTCCATTTTTTCACAAGTTAAATGAAAATTGGGAATGACTGTATCACACTAATGAACCATGGTGCTGGGTGCATCGTCCATGCCCTTCATCTTCATCACTTTATGGCATAAACCCAGGCCTACCCAGCATGATGCTTTTTATTCTCTAGTCTGATGCTTTGGCCAAGCTTTCCGTATGGACCATTGTGGCATAACTGGCATTCTAAATGACCATGTAGCTGCATAGTGGCAAAGTTGAGTTTTTAAGACTCTTCCTCAAGTTCAATTTTGAGTCCTATAAGAAGACCAGCAAAGTATCATGGATTATGGATACCTCATACCAGCATTAACACCTATATAATATTGATTTCAATTTTAATTAAATTAGGAAAATAAAAATGAACTGATTCTAAAAAATCTCTGGTTTGCCACTACGCGTAGCGGTAGCTATGTAATTGAGGAGCGCAGTGGCCTAAAATAGGAGTAGGCCGGCAGCAGCAGCATGCTCATCCTGCTCCTTTGGCTTTTATAGTGGGATTAGTGGGCTGCTGCAGTGCTGCTGGCTTGCTTGTATTGGAGCATGCAGCTGTCTTGCTCCTCCCCCCACTTCTCAAGTGAGTAGCACTGGAGTGTTTTGGCCATATAGGTGTGGGCCGCGGGGTGCCATCTGGCTTTCCTAAATGACCAACCATTCCCTAGAATTTCACCTTGGCCTGGCCCCAGTTGGCCACCTCTGGACTCAGGCATAGTGGCAAACCAGAAAATTTTTAGAATCCGTTCAGCTTTAATTTTCTCATTTACCGGTACTTAATATTTAAAACAAATTTTTTATGTATGATAATGCTGGTATCTATAATACTTTACTGGTCTACTTATAGTTCTCAAAATTGAACTTGAGGGGGAGTCTAAAAAACTCTCTGCTTTGCCACTATGCTGGACTGTCTGCACTCTGCAGTTCACAGTTGAGATGCCAGGCTAAAATATTTATAAAATTATAAAAAATATGGAAATAATTGGTATAATAATTCTATCCAAACTCCTAAGAATTAGTGAGGTTGACATATCAATCTTATTCTTAGGTTTGATTGCCCCCATCACCCTTCCCCTTGTTCTATTTTCAAGTTTACTCTCTGTTCAGTGTTCATATTTGACTAAAAACTTAAACAAGGACCTTTCTTAAGTTTCCTCAATAACCTACTGTAAGCAGGCATTTTTGGACTGAGCAAGGGATTTACCATATCCTACACCTACCTACTGTGACGGACTGACAGTGACCTACAGTTTACAGCCTAAATAGCCTATATATGGCCTGCCGCATATGGCATACTGGGGCTAACTGGGCACAGGCTAGCCTATCCCTATCATCCTATGGTATACCTAGGTGGATCGATCTTGGTTGCATACATGAACCCGAAGTTCAGAACCCCCATATCAAATTCTAAATGACACGAATTTACAATAAAAAAGTTTTAAAAATTGTGCTTAATAGTAATACTCACCGAGTTTCGTTTCTTTTATAGAATTTGTCCCAGTTGGCAGCTGCCTCTTTTTCTAGCTTCGCATTTATAAAAGACGACAATAATCCTCTTTTATCTTGAAGTTCAAGTTTTGTGCAATCATCGTCGGTTAGTTGCCTAGGTTTAGAATAAAGAAGGTTTTTGGCATTATCATTTGACGATGGATTGCCGATGGTCATGCAGTTATCAAAATTTGTTGACAACGACTGAACAGTTGACAAATTTTCCTGATCCATTTTATTCGAGATGAATGTTGAATGACATTTATTGTTGCATGAAATTTTATAATTGCTGTATTTTAGTTGCACTGCCGTCTGGCTTACATACTACATAGGGACCTTTAACTTTAAGGAAGTCGTACCACGTTATGAGAAATGCAATCAACTACAATTATTTTTGCTGAATTTGCACTACGTGCAAATCCACACTATTCCGAAATCCAAAGAATTGCTAGAGTCGGAACAGTGAACAAGAAACAGCGCCGGCGCAATTAAAGTTAAACTAACCCACAAATTAAAACATAAAGTGAATTATCGTAGGAAATATTGCAAATATTAATATATTATATATCTGAAGACTATATCAAACTCAGCTGTGTTAACGTTTCGCTAAATATATCCTGTAACTGTAACTCTGTAAGGTGTGAATGCAAGGTCGACAACGACAAGACTAGACTTGAGTGCATTTTGTTTTGAGGTTGAGACCGAGGTGCCCGAGGATCAGAGTTGCATCTCTGTTTATTGTTTAATGTTTATCAACTGTATGTTAGAGCATCAAAATTAAAAATTTATCAAAATATGTAACTTGGTTATTGAAAAGGTGATACTTATTTCTGGAAAAGATTAAAATTTTCCTTTTTAAATTCCATTGCTGCAGGAATTAGGATTGGAAATTTGAAGTAGATCAATAGATTATAAGTATAGAATACTAATAATTTTCCTTAGATAGCCTATCAGTTATATCACAGGCCACAGCTTCAAAGTCACAGAATTTAAAATAAATTAAACTCTTATCTCACAGCTAACATTATGAATAGGCTAGGCCTAGGTATGTTTTTTTGGCTAATCAAATTCTGATGCCTAGACTGTTGACTCATCTTTAAAAATGGATGCTCTGAAAGTGGGAGTAGCCAAGGAGACGAGGAGTTCTTATGTCTTAAGGACTTAAGGTTACCGTCAATGCGTCAAACAGGGTAGGTAATAAGGGATGGGTGGGGTAAATTGGGACACTGGGGACAGCCGACGGGGGACATTTTGTAGAACTAGAACTAGAAGTATTGTACAGTTGTAGCAGACTACTAGTAGGCTAAACTAGGTAATCAAAATATTGCAAAACTAAAAATAGTGGTATAAAGTTGAACATTTTTACTAACTATATAGCATAAACAAGCTAATTAAGAAATCATACTTCATACATATACTACCTATAAAAAATCCCTGATGAAAGTGTGAAAAGTGAGATTTTGGAAAAACTCCTCTGCTAAGGTCTGTAGCAAAAAAATATTTGCCATATTAAAAATTTTACTTACATAAAAGTTGCACACAGGTGTTGGCTTAGAAACAAGATTGACAGAATTTGCATATGGTGGCCATTTCCACATGATGGGGTAGGAGTAATAAGGGCCCAAGGGGACACCCTCCCTGGGCCCTGGGGTAATAAGTGACACCCCTAAAAATGCATTTACCATAGAAGTTAGAACCAGAGTCCTGAGTCCAGAGGTGGGCAGTAGCGTGCTACATGTAGCGGCCACTACATTTTCAGTAGCAATAGCAGTAGCTGCACTACATTTAAGCAATTGTAGCACCCGCTACATACTTAAGTAGCAATACAAGGTTTTGGCGCTACAGCGCTACTGCTACATTTATAGATAAAGCCTTTAGATTTTGCTTAATAGTATTTTTAGTATTAAATATCATTTAAAAACCAGCATGATATGTAAATATTATAAATTGCAGAATAAAACTATACAAAAGATTTTGATGTAATATTGTCAACCTCAGCCTGTTACTAGTGTCAACATGTAGTTGTTACCATAGTCCAGAGCCAGAGGTGGGCAGTAGCGCGCTACATGTAGTGGCCGCTACATTTTCAGTAGTGGTAGCAGTAGCGGCTATACATTTAAGCAATTGTAGCGGTAGCGGTACTGCGGTAGCGCCCGCCGCCCGCTAAATTTAAAGCATGTAACAGTAGCGACCGCTGCATTTCTAAGTAGCACTGCCCAGCTCTGCATAGAACCTCAGCTAGCAAAGGCTCCAGTTAACCAAAAAATCCATTAACAACAAAAAATTATGATTACATTTACCCTGCTCAGCAAAAAAATTTAATTGAACTAAAAATTAATGCATCATTGTTCAAAATTGTGAATAATATGTCATAGATGGAATTGTGCACCAGGCAACATAGAATAAAAAGTAATTAACCTAAGCTATGATTTATTTCTCCAAAAATATTATGGTTGTCATTAAAACTCAATGAAAATTGTGTGAAACTACAAGTCATCCTATAAGCTTACAAATACAGAAGAAATGCCATACGGCTGCTGATATGAAGAGCTCTTGCCGTGGACAACTTTGTTGTAAATGCACAATGGGATGTTCATGGGTATGGTAATATCACATCAATAATGCGATAATGTATGGATTTGGCAATATCTTATAAATAAAGGTAAAACTAGTAAAAATCACAGAAAATGTCTTTGATTCTACATCTACATCATCTACAAAGGAAGAGGAGGACTTCAGAGTACTGTTAGTAATAGATGAGTACACTCTGAATGCTTCAAATCAGGGTTGGTGATTTTTTTGATTTTTTTTTTAAAAATCAAAAAAATCAAAAATCAATGATTTTTTTGATTTTTTCATGATTTTTTTGATTTATTTGATTTTTTTGATTTTTTCAACTTTTTTGTCTTTTTGAAGTGTTATTTTTTATGTTGCAATTAGCCTACTAACAATTACAGTATATGGATCATAATGGATGGTTAAAAAGGGCACTTATTGCCTTCAATAATGGCCAACAGGCCAAGGTAGTGTTTACCACTTAGGGATTTTTGGGTAAACAATTATTGGTTAGTCTATTCATTAGCTTTGTAAAGTTTGTATGGAGCAAGGTAATGAGCTAAATATTGACCATTTAACTGGCTTCAATATACAAAAACACTTCAGGAATGCAGATCTTCTAAACATTGAAGAGTCACATAACAGATAGGTACCTAGCTGATAGCACAGTGCACAGCACTATCAATAGATCTACTAGTTTTATGTCCTATAAATCTACCAATCAACTCTTTGTATATTTTACTTGAATTTGCTAAGCTTGAAGTTTCTATAGAGATGATAGAAGATCTATTTAGTTTCTAAAATCCATGGTAGCAAAAGAGTAATGGAGGTACATAAAGAAGAAAGTTTATTTTCCTAGAGGTTAGCATAACATACCATTTAGAATACCACTTTTGTTTTGAAAACAATATCTGGAAGATGGGGACTGTTAGCTGCAACACACTGTTGGAGTCGTTCCCAGAGGAGAGAGTAACCATGAGAATGAAATACAATCGCGATGCTGCAATGTTGCAAAATTTCTTGCAGCCTATGATGGGAAACATTGTTGAAAATGAAGCATTGGGAGATGTGTGGTTCCAGCAGGATGGGGCTACAGCTCACACAGCCCGAATGTCATTCAATGTTTTGAAACGCATGTTTCCCGGAGGTCTGGTGTCTTTTAGGGGTGATTTACAGTGGCCTGCAAGCCGCAAGGTCACCTGATTTGAGCATTTACGATTTCTTTCTTTGGGGACATCTAAAAGAAAGGGTGTTCAGAAGTCACCCTCACACCCTACCACAGCTAAGGGGATGGATTATTGCAGCAGAGGTTATGGCCAAAGCTCGCCATATGTGTGAACGTGCTGTAGAAAACTCCCGAGAACGACTCCAACAGTGTGATGCAGCTAACAAACCCCATTTTCCTGATATTGTTTTCAAAACATAAGTATTTTTAACGGTATCTTATGCTAATATAGAGGAAAATAAACTTTCTTCTTTATGTATCTCCATTACTCTTTTATTTTGCTCCAAAACTGTTCAATCAGTTCTGCCCCACCCTGTATAAGGTAGCTAACAAATTTAATTTGTATATTGTAATCAATATATAACAAATAGTCAAATAGTTGAAGACTACTTATAGCCTTATAAGAATTAGCTAAGCTGCTAGCTACAATGTATTGCACACTTGATGCCTCTGTACCAAAAACATTCAATTTATGGGAACCTAATACCGTACACACTAAAGGCAACAAGTTTATATACCAATTTGTCATTCATAGTACATTTATACTAAACCATAAATAACAATATCTCAATATAAATTAAAGACTGCCACTCAATATATTTATATATATGAAAAAATCAAAAAAATAAAAAAAATTGAAAAAATCATGATTTTTTTTATAAAAAAATCAAGTGATTTAATCACATGATTTAATCATTTTGATTTAATCATTGCCAACCCTGCTTCAAATGTTTTAAAATTTAGTTTTATTTCAAGTGTCCCAGATTACTCCATTCTTGGGGGTAATTTGGAATGCTTTTATTTGCATCTGGCACCTTACAAATAGCATATGGAATTTTTTGGAGACGCCATTCGATAGCCCTATCAAAGAGCTTAAAAATGAGCTCAAACTTCATTATGAAATGTTTCATGGTAAGAAGTTATTAACAAAAAACGCTCAAAACCGTCCCTTATTACTGGGTTTGATGGTATTGTTTATGCACCCAATGTGGGCTGCAGCAGGCATGCTATGTAGCTATGTTTAGGTAGATATGGATTATGGAATATGTCTAAATTTCAAAGTGCCACAAGAGATTCCCTGCCATTTTTTGGAACTGTGATAAATTTACTCTAGTTTCTAGATGAGAATGAGAATAGCTTCCTATCATAACATCAAACCAGAGATTTTTAAGAATTGGTTCAGTTTTAATTTCCTCATTTACTCAAGATTTAACATGTTAAGTGTGGCAAGACCCAGTCAGACCCACCGGTGGGTCATACCACATCCATGGTACTATGAAAGATGCTCTGAAAACAACAAAGCTGCACTTCGTGTGTTGAACCAATATCTTATGTATGGTATGTTATTGTTTGAATCCATGATACTTTACTGGTCTACTTCACATAGTAGCAGAGCAGAGACTTTTTTCAGACTACCATATTCCTCCAGTTAATTTCTGAGTCCTTTGAGTAGACCAGAAAGGTATTTTGGATACCAGCATTATCATAAATGAGATACTAGTTTAAATCTTGAGTAGATAAAGAAATTAGAAACAACAGATTCTGAAAAATCTCTGGTTTGCCACTATGCTACTTCATAGTATAACTGTTATAGGACTCAAATTGATGTCTACAGGTCTACTTATAGGACTCGGAAACTACTGGTAGTACACACATATGTATGTTCATCAAAATAATTTTCCAAGTGTTTATTTTGGCTATTGACGTATATATTTGTCTATATAATTTAAATTATATTTCTATACAGATGGATTCCAATGAAGAAAATAAAAGCAGTGATGATATAATTCAGGAATTGTTGTCATCTTTCACAGTTAAAGAGCATACAGCAACACCTTGCCTTGATGGTAAGCATTGATGGTTATTTAGTACCTATTGATATTAACTATTAAAATAGTATATAAAGACCACCTCAACTCTTTGTATATTTTACTTGAATTTGCTAAGCTTGAAGTTTCTATAGAGATGATAGAAGATCTATTTAGTTTCTAAAATCCATGGTAGCAATTTCAAGTTTCTAACTAAGAAAGAATGTATGATCTGTGTTGTTGAAATTTGGCCTAGGCCACAGTATATATCAGTGATGGTTCAGGACATGTCAAGCTGGAATTCCAGAGAAATATTAAATTAACCAGTATGCATAACATATTGGACATGAGCACAACCCAATCACAGTCTGGAGAGGATGACATCACAATCCCACAACCAATCACAGTCTGGAGAGGATGACATTGCAATCCCACAACCAATCACATTTTATACAGAATGACATCACAATCTCACAACCAATCACAGTCTGGAGAGGATGACATCACAATCCCACAACCAATCACAGTCTGGAGAGGATGACATTGCAATCCCACAACCAATCACATTTTATACAGAATGACATCACAATCTCACAACCAATCACAGTCTGGAGAGGATGACATCACAATCCCACAACCAATCACAGTCTGGAGAGGATGACATCACAATCAATCACATTCTGGTGATGGACATGCACCTGCCCAAAAATGACAGAAGCTTAATGCATTATCCTAGAATTCCAGCCTGAGTACATTATACTCAAATATATCACTGTCTACATTATAGTATATCACATATGTTCTGATGGTTACTGTGTAACTACGTTGAACACTCAAAATTAGTATCCAATTAGTTTCATTATGAATCCAATCCTTTTATTATGTATTATGTATCCAATAAGTTTATTGTATCCAATAAGTTTTATTATGTATCCAATTAGTTTTATTGTGCCACAAATGTTGGAAGATTTCAAGTAGAAGGGATGGGACTCAAGAAGCCAGTAGTCTGAGAGTCTTGCCAAATTTCTACAAACTCTAAAGCTGAGCTAGTTTTCTTAGGTAGTTTAGAATGTTTATGGTATTTTATGTAATAATAATGGTATTTAATGTTGCAGATGGTGAGAACAACAAAGGAAAAGCTCCACTTCATTCCAAAGACGAGCCTCAAACATCTGGTTAGTTGCAGAGACATGTTGTCTAAAGTAGGTACATATTCATAATATTATTGTTGTTTATATTGCAGAAGTGGTTCTTTCATGCAGGGTTGAAAATTAAAATTGTCAAATGGCTGGTAAATTGTAGTAGTGCGGCTTCAGTTTAATTCACTTGTTTATTACAGCTTAGGATGAATTATGATGAGATGAAATTAGCCAGTCTCCTTCTCATTGAAAGTTTACTATCCTGTAATTCCTAAAAACAGGCAAACCCCCTCGACGGTCTGGGGGGATCACCATTGCTTGTTTGAAGGACAGCGTTGTGCTGCAGGAAGTTCAGCGCTCCGCTCAGTGCTCCCAACAACAGCTTCCAGCAGGTTGGAACTTGGGAATGGGGGGCCATATGAACAAGGCCAGTATGTATTATTTTGGATCTAAAAATCTAAAACTATTTTACTTGATGTTTAGCTGATATTTTGAACCAGATCAAGTCTAGAACAATCCTTGAATATGAGTTTCTGCTTGGATTCCAGCCTGCAGCAGCACAGATGTGCAGGACTCGGCGTTGGCTAGCAAAGCTGCAGCTGAGCCGCTTGTCTCTCAGAGCAATAAATCAGGTGTGTAAATAAATAATTCTTCTGCTAGCTTTATTCCGTCCAAGTGAAAACATTCTGTCTGAATGTGTATAATTAGATATTATTTTTGCAAATACTAAACATTCAATATGATATGGAGTTAATAATTCTTTTGAGATTCTGATATGCAAGACATCCTCACAATATTTGTATAGCTGGTGAGTATTTATATTACTAATTCTTCAAATCAAGACAAAAGAGGGATTATGATGCTGTACATGTACATTTTTGCTTGTTAACTTGATTTATTTTTTCTGGGCAGTTGAAAATGATAAGAATCACAAGAAGCACCATCACAAGAAGAGCAAGGAGAGCAAGTGTGAGGATAACTCGCTTGCACGTCCTAATGATGAGGCTGATGATGATGTGGTGATAACTTCAGTGCAGCCGTAAGCTATGCATCAAGATTGCATTATTTCAGTTCTACTATCCTATATTTCTTTTTAGTTTTTTAATATGCATTTTAAATAGCATGAATCGAAGATATTACAATATTGTGGTTGTTTTAAAATACTTAATTGCATTGGCCTTGTCAAAGAGAACAGAAAGAATTTGATGGCCTTTCTTTGTAGTTGCTTCATCAATAAAGATTAATATCCGTTCTTTGTAACTGATTTTTAGCGACAGTAACTTTAGTTACTAGTCCATCAGATATGAATAACATTGACAATGGTTTATGTATACATAGACAAAGTTTCAAGTGGAAGTTTTTTAGCCAAGTGCAGTCCATTCAATATAATATACTTTTAAATTATCAAACTTGATCGATTTTAAATCATTTTTCGCCTGGCTTTATTTACCGTAATCTATTTTTATCCCTGTTAATCGTACATTTAATTTCATACATTTTTCCCCTCACAGAAGCAGGAAGAGATCTGCATCGCCTTCATCATCCTCACATCGCCACAAGAAATCTCGGCGTTCTGCTTCTCATAGCAAGAACCAGACATTGCAGTCTTCTAAGTCTATTGATGAATGTAAATCTTCATCTCCTAAATCGCTTGACCAGCGCAAATCTCGTTCTAGCAAGTCACCCAGCGTCCATAAATCCCGCTCAAGTAGATCGCCCACTAGTCAAAAGTCTGGTTCCCGCAAGTCACGATCCCGCCGATCTACAAGTCGGCATAAAAAATCGAGATCCAGTCGATCTTCGAGTCGGCATAAGAAATCAAGATCTAGCCGATCGAGGAGTCGCCACAAAAAATCGAGATCCAGCCGATCTTCGAGTCGGCATAAAAAATCAAGATCAAGCCGATCAAGGAGTCGCCATAAAAAATCAAGATCCAGCAGATCTTCCAGTAGACACAAAAAATCAAGATCCAGTCGATCTACCAGTAGACACAAAAAATCAAGATCCAGTCGATCTACCAGTCGGCATAAAAAATCACGATCCAGTCGATCTTCCAGCAGACACAAAAAATCGCGGTCCAATCGATCTCCCAGCCGGCGGAAAAGATCGCGATCTAGGAAGCCTGGAGATCATCACAAATCTTCAATAAAAAAGTGAGTCAAATTGAAGACAGGAGCTACGTTTACTAGACTGTGATGCGCGGTTTGCTGGACTGTGATGCGTGGTTTGCTGGACTGTGATGCGTGGTTTGCTGGACTGTGATGCGTGGTTTGCTGGACTGTGATGCGTGGTTTGCTGGACTGTGATGAGATAGAAATAAATTATTGACTGGCATTAATGGAAATCTCACTAACAGCAATTTTTGTGGCAGGGAGAAGTGCGATGACGAAGACTGCGTCAAGATCCTCAAGGATAAGGTGGGTTCCTACACGTTCCTTTCATCGCTCCTACTTCATCTAACTCTGTTAACGCCTCAGCGCCATTATCACTCTGCATTACTTCATATGCAGTATCATTCTGCAATAAATGGTTTTCAATATAAACACTGGCATTGCCTGCTAAGTAATTTGTAGCGATAATATTTGCAAATACTTATAGTTACTAATGCTAACATCTATTATCTCTTAATGCTCCTTATCTCCAGTGCCTCAGTACAAAATATTTGTTTACAACTCGGCACTCCCCCGCGCAGGTGACGCGGAAGCGGCTGTTGGAGATCGCGCGGCGTAACGCCCTACAGTTGGTGTCCAGCGGGGTCATCCCGAGCTCCCTAGGGCCCGTACCCCCCGTGGGGCCTGGGTCTGCCCCCGCCTCCCAGCCCCGCAGCATTCACGACCTCACCGGTATGGCCTTCGTCGTGGGTAATTGCTGGTTGTCATCAGCATTGGAATTGTTAAGGCATTATCGGCAACTACTTCGTAAATGTTACCTCAATTTTTTTGACGAGCCTTTAAATTATGGCAGCATATTGCCGATACATCCTAATTGTCTTTCAATTTCTTCCTAAAAGTTTCACCAACCATCAAATTATGGCGCCTTTTGGTAAATTCATATAGGTACTGTTTGCACTTTCAGGACATTCTGAAAAATCCGTATTTCACTTGACTGTTTCAAACTATACTTAGGGTACCCAAATCCTACTACTCTCTTCTTTATCCCATTTGTTGAATTCGTAGGGTACCCAAATCCTACTACTCTCTTCTTTATCCCATTTGTTGAATTCGTAAATGAGCAGCGTTCTGCAAGCAGCTGGCTGAGTCTATGAATTATCATGAGCAGCGTTCTGCAAGCAGCTGGCTGAGTCTGGAAACTACAGTGACGATGGTGACAACGGGCTCGTCGGGTCCGACGATGACGAAAGTGAAGAGGAGGATAAATCTGAGGCACCGTTTACCTACAGTGGCAGACATCCTTTTGCTCTCAAGGACAAGCCTATCACGATGAACATCAGGGTATGCTTACAGAACTTCTTATATTTTCCTGCAGAAATAATATCTGAAAGTTTATTTATTTCTATAATCCACCAATGCACATCTGAATTTAGACATGTCACTGTACAGAAATCTTTCTTCATTTTTCACTTTTATACTGATGAAAAGCCATAATTTGTTATCTTTGTGATGATTTTCATCATTAATGTTGATTAAATTTGTTCATGAATTCATTAATATCATTATTGATTATATGAGCAGAACGCCCCAATGCTGCCTGTGAAAAGCAACGCCGAGCGTCTCCAGGAGAGCTCGAAGCTACGGGAACAGTTCCCCGTCTCGAGTGGCACGCATCACAAGCAGAAAGATGATGGCGGTGTGTAATGTGATCAATTATACCTGTGACGACAAGTATACATAAGTATTTATTGTGTTCAGCTGTGGCAGGTTATTATTCTATCTTACTGTTGAGAGATCATTTGTCTGGGCTGATTTGCGTATGAAATGATTTTATTCTCAGTGTCATGTTGTTAAATGAAGAATTTACTGCATAATAGTGGAGTAAGTGGTACCTGAAAACTCACTTGTAGGGCAGTTACAGCTATATCAATACAATTACTGTGCAATTACATCTCCAACTAGGTAGAAATAATAATTAATGTTATATATTAATTGCTACTATTGAATATATGATATATGAAGTATCAACTCCTGCTTAAGCTTACAATTAATCTAAACGCGGTGTGGCCTGAGCAGGTTGGACGCCCGTGGAAGCGGCCTCGTCGTCCAGCCAAGCCACCCCATCTGACAACACCGAGTCTGCTAAGGATCCTAAGGATCAAGTATTTCCTACAGTGGACGAGGTATTATTTTCCTTCAGGCAGGGCTTCAAAGGGATTAAATCTCTGAATTTATTATTATTGACTAATTATTGTTAAAAAGCTTAATTTATATCATTGTTGTGACGAAATGGGATTGTGAAGCTGAAATAACATTGCTAGTTTTAAATTTTGTTGTGTTAATGAATGTAGTTTTTAGTACACCTGCAACTACTACAGAGCCAATCTACATATGCATACCATAGCATAATTGAGTTATTGTACGTTGTACTGCAGCCAAAGAACTAATGATTAAAATGATATTGAGTAGGTTTAATTTAGGCCCCGGTATTATTAATAAACCCTTGAAATCTCTTGTGTTAATTTATTGTTGTATGTTCGGATGCCTGATAAGCTTGCGATTCAAGACGAAAGATAAGAATTCTACTTTGATATATTATACTGCACATAGATCACTGCATATTAAGTGAAAATCATTTGCTGATGTTGTTGGTCCTCTCGATGCGCCGACCCAAGAAGCCCGCGTCGCCTTTACCCGATTTTGATCAAGACCACAGCAGTGACGCGGAAGCTTGATGATGTTGATAGTTGTGCAGTGGATGTTGAAGGATGATGATACTAAAGTGGATGCTAGGGATGTTGATAATTGTGAGGTGTTGAGATGAAGTCTGTGTTGGGCTTAGTTGTTTTTCTGTAGTGACAGCGTCTGGTGCTGTATCGCACTGTTATTTGTTTGGGTGATTGTGGATACTTTGTTTTAGCTAAATATCTGTTGTTTACCTGAGAATTGGAAGGAGGTTTTGGTGGTTATGGCAAAGGCTGAGGGTGTGTGACGTGACTTGAAGGTATGATTTGGGTGCTGCCTAGTGTAATGCTTGGTGCCTTCTTAATGGTCTGTAGGCGTTTCTGCTGTGCGTAGGTGGTGTAAGTTCAGGTGTACTGGCATAGTCCATCACAGTGCGTATGGGATGATGAAGGTGGTGGAAGATGTTGGTGGTGAATGTGCAGGTGGCGGAAGATGTTGGTGGTGAATGTGCAGGTGGCGGAAGATGTTGGTGGTGAATGTGCAGGTGGTGGAAGATATTGGTGGTGGAAGATGTTGGTGGTGAATGTGCAGGTGGTGGAAGATGTTGGTGGTGAATGTGCAGGTGGTGGAAGATATTGGTGGTGGAAGATGTTGGTGGTGAATGTGCAGGTGATGGTACCTGCTGGGAGGTGTGGTACCTGCTGGAAGGTGTGGTACCTGCTGGGAGATGTGGTGCCTGCTGGGAGGTTTGGTACCTGCTGGGAGGTGTGGTACCTGCTGGGAGAGGTGGTGCCTGCTGGTCAGAGTGCTGGAAGGTGCGGTGCCTGCTGAAAGGTGTGGTGCCTGATGGAAGGTGTGGTGCCGGCTGGTCATGTGTTGGATGAGTTCAGCTTGATGTCTCTACCAAACTGCAGGAGGATGGACGCTGTAGACGTGTGGTCCAGTCAACTGATGGAAAAGATACTGTGGGTCTGGGTGACCTGGCCACACCTTCCCGCAGCATCACTCAGTAAAACTCTCCCTTGGTGAACCCACAGCAAGGGTGAGAGTGGGTGACTTGTTCTCGAAGAGAAGAGAACCGCAACTGCGAGCTGGTGAAGTATTTAGCTGTTGGAACAGATCCTATTTTGAAACTATTGTACTCACTGACCGTTGATTTGGTATTTCTGCAGGATATAGCGAATCTGAATCTTTCCGAGATGGTATCAGAGCGACTGCGTGCAATGCGGAACTTGCAGGAAAACCCAAATGACGCGAATGCCAAAAAGAAGCTGGATGCTCTTCAGGAAACAGTGAGTGCCTTGCAATGATTTTCATTTATTGCGAAATTCTATGTTTTCGCTCATTTAAGAGTTACTTTAAGAGGCAAGGGTTTGGTGCCATGCGACTATTGTACACTTTCAACTTGTTAAATGTTCATACTACTGCTGTTTTGAATTTTTCGGTCTTATTTTTTTACATTCTGAGTTCGAATTGACTTTTTTTATTTGAGATTAGGAAATCGGGGGTTCACCTTGGAACTCGTTTAAATTCAAGTGCGTCTGACGAAATTGTAAACTTAATTTATTTATGTCTTTCTAATCTGTTTGTTTTCCAGATGTCGAAATGGGCGTTGAGTAAACAGGAGCCCGGCAAGTTCACTGGCACAACAGGAGTGAAGGTCTTGAGTCAACAGGAGCTGTCGTCTGGTCAACAGGCGTGGGCTAAAAAGGTCACCACATTACATTTAAAAAGACATTTAAGTTTTGCTTCGAGCCTTCGATGCGGTATTAGCTAACTCAGTTATGCTGGGTTATCTTCATTTTTTAGGGCACATTTTTTACTTAGATGCAATACCTCAAAAGATTAATTTACCGTACTAAGTTCATGTTATAAAAATCTATTTCCATGAGAAATTTCTTTTGAATGTTGGCTTCTAAAACTGAATCTTATGCGTGTATGTAAGTGTCCCAAGAGATACAAATTTGAAATGGCTAATGACCTTAAACCAACGACTAAGACTTTGTATAGATTATTAATATATTTTATATAAATTTCCGTAGAAATGAAGCTGAATTTCAAAGATTAATTATGTAAAATTAGTCTTATTTCGTTGTCACGCAGCGGGATTGTAAAGCTGGAATGAATTATTTGATTTAAATTAGTTTATGTTAACTTATCTCGAAAAATATGCAAGATGATAACATTGGCCCTTTATAGGAGCAACTAATAACGGCGAAGCCGGTGTCGTCGGCGTTTGGTATGCGCATGCTGCAGAAGATGGGCTGGAACCCCGGGGAGGGCTTGGGCAAGAACAAGGAGGGCTCGACCACTCCACTACTGCTGGAGGTCAAGACTGACAAGAAGGGTGAGTGAGTGATAGTGTTGCATGGATGGAATTAATTGTCGATGATTGGTGAGTTACTGATGAAGTTGGTGGGTTGGTGCTGAGTATGAAATCGGCCACTTGTATCTAATTTTAAAAAAATTTGGCGATTTTGGTGAGGTGGAAATAGAATTAAAGGATTTGAAAGCAACAAAAGAAGTGGAATAAACGGTTTACTGATATGCAGTTATAGTGTAATTCCCTATATACACTGCAAAGTGTGTAAATTTTTCTTGAATATTTCTTCTCTCTTACCGCTATTTGTATGAAGCTAGTTACCATCTGGTGGAGAGACTGGCCAAGTTCCTGTTTTGGATGATTACTCATGTGTATATATAATTTTTCTATGGTATGATATGTGGGATTGATTAGCAGGTTTCCACATAAAATTAGATTTTCGGATAATACATTATTGCGACTTGAAAGCAATGATTAGATATTACAATATTAGATTAACTAAATTAAAAAAAATTAATCGAATGGGAAAGGAGATTGCTTCTAACATCGTGTTTTTGAGGAAAATGTTTTCAGAGAAATTGCATTGATTTGCTTCACATTTTTTGTTCGTGATTTTTGACTTAAGGCTTTAACGTGTCTTGGTCTGATTGAACGTGTCTACTTCAATTTTTTAAATAAATCTAAATATATTTTCTAAATTAATATAGTTGTACTAATTGATTATATGTGAGTTTTTAGATACCTTAACTGTCGGTTGAGGTGGTCCTTGACGCGTTTTCTTGAAAATATTCTAAATTCATAATCATAATATTTCAGTCGGTGATTGCGGCTCACCTGAATATCTAACTTGTCATAATTGTCATAATTATATTATTCACTTCATAGATAATTTCTCTACATTTGCACAAGGCTAACATTAATGCTAACTACGCCATATTGGTGTTAATAGTTCAAGACATTAAATGCTCATTCCATGCATACATGCAGGCTTCCACGCCCAGGAGGAGCTGACGCCTGTGAAGCCCTCCATTCCCATGACCAAAACCGTCGCAGGTAAGGCGAGCAGAGCCCTTAAACTCCTTGAATATTACGGTGATTATTTGAGTAGTTATGATGACCGTTAATCCTTCCATTACTGTTATTATTTACTTTAAAAATTTATGTTTACCGGTTTATAGATTAACGAAAGCCACGTTTCGTGAGGCTGTAGTAAATAAATTTGACTTCCTGCAGCACATTAATTTTAACAGTCGTAACAAGGTCATTTTCGCGGTGTAACATTTCGAGTGCATTTATTCAAGTGAGTAGTTAGTTACCTTCATGGTTATTGAAAATGATTGAAAACATTTCATGAATTGAGCATAATTCGAAAAAAAAACTATTTTAGCATCCAAATTCCAACAAAAATTTCGTTTCGAGCCCTAATATAAGACTGCGTAGTGGCAAATGAAAGAATTTTTCGTTAACCTCCATTATTGCACTATTGAGTCCTAAAATTATTTTATTATGTATTGTGAATATCAGCATTAACATACATAATGAGATATTGTACAAAATCTTGAGATAGATCTCGAAATAAAAATGAGTTGGTTTATTAAAAAATCTTTCGTTTGCCACTATGCTTAAGAGTGACTATTGCGTTTTTCGAGGTGGTGGAAGTGGAGGAGCTACGCCGAATAGTTGTTCGCTCGACACCTTCTCCCAGCTGACCAAACTCCTGCTGGATCTTCGCAACTCTGCTGCTGCTGCACCCGCGACTTCAAATCCTTTGCAGTTGGCAGCGCTCTTAAACTTGCTTGCACTATCATCTAAACTCAACCAGAATACCTCGCCACACGTGAACCAGACTCCTGTCCCCCTTATGAACCTGAACCTCACGCCGCACGTGAACCAGAACGTTACATCTCTCCTGAACCAGAATTTCACGTCTCGCGTAAGCCAAAATACTACGTCTCGCTGGACCCAGAATACCGCTTCGCTTGCGAACCAGAATACCACGTCTCACCTCAACCAGAATTTCACGTCTCGCGTGAACCAGAATGCTACTTCGCACGGGAACCAGAATGCCATGTCCTACGGGAACCAGAATGCCATGTCCTACGGGAACCAGAATGCCATGTCCTACGGAAACCAGAATGCTGTTTCCTACGGGCACCAGAATTTCACATCTACAGTGAGCCGGAACATTGCGTCTAACGTGAGTCAAGTTCTTCCTACCGTCACTGGCTCCACTAGCCACAGGAATCGCTAGTCCATTCAAAGGGAAAAATATTTCATATTTGCTCATAATTGTATTGATTTTGAGGCATTTTTCATTTATGAGCCGCAATGTGATGGCGATAATTTAACTAATATCGTGACTCACTCCTCAACCTCCACCCCTCGCTAAACGCAGTCTGTACTCGGTCGAATTTTCATGGTATTTTCCTTGAACTTCTAAACCGAACTGGCGTCGTCCTGTGTTTTATTAGCTGCTCAATTTTATTTGTTGAGTAAACAATAGATGCATACCATGTTGCTTGGTGAGAGTCAAGTGCAGTGTGATGTCTCGTGTTGGTGTCATTTGCTGGCTACTCATAACGTTCCTGTTGCCGGTGCGTAGAGCGGATATTACTACATATTCCAATGGCCTATGAAAGATCTATTTTGCAGGTGTTTTTAGATATGCGACTGTTTTTGGATATTTGAGTCTTGTTTCGCTGTACAGTTTTCGTATTGCATTATGCCGTAGAAATGAAAGTATGCGCCGATTTTTTTGCAGGCAAGCACCCCGTCTCAGTCCTTTCCGAATTCTGCATCAAATCCAAATGGCAACCTCCACAATTTCAAGTGGTGCATGATTCTGGACCAGATCATAAGAAGAGCTACCTCATGAAAGTAGGTGTTGGGCTTCTTTTGTCAGCTCTTTTATTAGGTCACTATCATTTTCTCCATAGAATTTATTTTCCCAGGAATAAGCTACTGATGCCGTGATGTGTTAATGCCATTATTCTTAACGCACTGCCATATAATCTCGCTGTCTAACCGGAGTTCAGTGCTTCTGCAACTCTCTTTGGTGGGAATATTCAGAAAATTGTCGAGTGACTTGTACGTAGATTGATTAGATTTCAGGAAATATTTCTTATCAAGTAGCCATTGCTCTTTGCTCAGGTCATAGTGAACAAGCTGGAGTACCGCGCCTCGCAGATGGCACCCACCAAAAAGCTGGCTAAGGCGACGGCGGCAGCGACATGCCTCATGGCTCTGGGCATCACGCTTGATGATCCTCAACCAACACACATGGGCATTGGTGGCTGCCAATCCTCTTTATCTTCTTTTGGAAACTCACCTGTGGTGCAGGGAGCCTTTCCTCCCCCAGGCCCCGTGTCGAACTTTACCCTCCGTAACATGAACGTCCAACAGCACCTCCCCCAGCAACACACCCGGCATAGCGGCGCCTACAGCTGCGGCGTTACCGGCCTGCAGCCTCTCATGTCTATTAACACCTGCGATTTTGCTGGCCGCAGTGGCAACGTCAATATAATTATTGGACCTCAATTACCGCAATCAGCCTCGTCATTTAGCCTCACCATGCACGAAAACAAACCCCAGCCAGTCCCCTTGTCATCTGTTAAGGCGTTTCCCCCGCCGGGAGTCAAACTGAACTCCTTCCCTCCACCAGGACGTTCTGGCCGACCTTCCCATCCTGTAGCTGAGCGCGGCTCGCAAACATCTTCAATTGAAATGCTTTGATAAGCCATACTTACCAGGCATTTCATGATAAATTGAGTGCTTGAATTATTTCAATTAGCCGTGACTGGGCAGTTTTTGACGGCTGTAGCTGCGTACCCTGCAATACCTCTAAGTCAGCGCTCAATTCTAAGTAGCGCGGACATTTAGTTGCGCCTGAAAATATCATTTTGGGTTATTTTGTTTGTCTCCATAACGCCAATTATTATTAGAACTTTTAAATAATCGCGACAGTATGCAGAGACATCATTTCATTGTGACCCGCAATGTGGATGATAAAGAGTTAAGCCCTACACTCGTCCATTATTTATCACCATCTATGGAGATTCTGCAATTTTGTGCAAGACTTTCTTCACGCGTTTCTAGTCGCGGTGAAAATGAACAGGAATAATGAATCTAAAATTTATTCATTATTAGAAATTGAAAACAAACCAATTGGAAATTTCAAGACTGTCAGTAAAACTGCATGATTGCACTGCCGCAGAAATTATTAGATCACCACGAATAGCTGCTGTTCATATCCACACTTCATACGTAGACACCAACTTCAAAACCGAACACTGAACGATATAATGAATTACAAAGAGAAATGATACAGATGCACATTGAAATAGGCCGTTTGTTGCATGCTTCAATGTTATTAAACTAATGAACTTCTCTCTGACTAGAAGCTGAAAGCTTTCTTAGCTCTACACATTTAACAATCATTTTGGGTTAGTGTTGCATGCCGCAAACACAAATAATTTATTTTAACATATAATAAATCATTAAAATTAAACCTTAATTTGGGCTCAATTATTGCAGTTCTCGTCTATGAGAAAAACTTCCAAGTGCATCAATCATTTAAAACAAGTAGCGCCACATATATAACATATAGCGTGCTACCTCAGCCTTGCTATTCATGCTGTAGGATACTATTATAATATTCATAAGGAAGATTACAAAACTTCTTCACATTGAAGAATTGAAAAACGAGGGCCAACGACTATGAGTTAGATTTGTGCCACTATCGTCGTAGCGACGAGTTTGAATTTTGGAAACTTGTAATAGGGAAATTATAAATTTTAGATTAGCGCCGACCTGCGAAGTCTGGTTGAGTAATCAGTGGCAGGTCGACTGACTGATTAACCTATGTAAACTTGTATCTCGTTCTATAGTGATTAAATAGAAGTTTATTTTGGCTTTGTATCACACATACTGGGGAAAAAATTTGGAATAGGACCCTGAATTGACATCATACTCGCTAGTCCATAAAATCCTGCTTGTAGTTAATTCTTCCTGGCGTAATTCAGTACAGCTATCTCAACTGTTTGTCTACCGACTGTAACTTCAGCCACCAATCATCACCTATTAATGACATAGACGGCGATAAATATATCCGTAGATAAATAGTAAAGACTTTGAGAATCATATATGTCACACTATGCGTGGCTAACGAGACTATACAGTTGCCACTCGTTTTTAATCACATGATCTACTTAAAGATTTCATTCAATATCTTTCGTATGACAATGCTAGTATTGATGATGCTCAACTGGTCTACTAATAAGACTTTAAAAATGAAAAGCAACTAAAGCTCTTGTTTGCCGTCATGGCCGCACTGGCGCGGTCAGCTCCCTCACTGAGGTCGGCACAGAAGAGGTAGGGGCGGCCACGATATACACAACTGACAAGGCACAACATTGCGTAGGCATTTACCACAATTAAAATATAATAAATTTCGTCGTTCGCGAGTATTGATGATGCTCAACTGGTCTACTAATAAGACTTTAAAAATGAAAAGCAACTAAAGTCTCTTGTTTGTCACCATGGCCGCACTGGCGTGGTCAGCTCCCTCACTGAGGTCGGCACAGAAGAGGTAGGGGCGGCCACGATATACACAACTGACAAGGCACAACATTGCGTAGGCATTTACCACAATTAAAATATAATAAATTTCGTCGTTCGCGCGAACACAAGGCACTTGTAGTGTAATAATATATATAGTGGTTAAGATTTGAATAGGACATTTCGACCAATAGCCGAAACCTTGACGATTTCGACCAGAATTTTCACAGCAAAATACGGGTGTCGAACCCCACTAGCTCGCTGCTCCAATCTTAGTAATCTTAACCACTCGGCCACCCCGAGCTGAAATAAGATACTGATCGCGAAATAAATCATTGTTTTCGTTGAAAGATAAACAATCTGTACAATAGAACGCTAGAAATCTGCGACAAAGTGAGCACTAAAGCTGCACATCGCAGGAACATTAATCATGTGCAGTCATTGTGAACTAAGAAATTGTCACAGGAAACATAAGCAAATACTACTCGGCTCTCATGAGTCCTTCCTACTTGAAGCAGGGACTTAGAGGCGAGTCATTCTTCATCGAATTTACTCAAATGTGAGTCATTCTTCGTAACGTACTGAAGGTGTCGCAAAAAAAAAAACTTCCCTTTACACATCAGGCAAATGCATTACCAACTTATGGAGTGATACAATATCGTTTAAATTTTAACCCCATCGGGTAAAAACTACTCAATATTTTGGTGAGGGTTAGAACTTCTTAGGCTAGACTATTAGAATACGAAGACTATTGCACCATCTAAAAACATAGTAGTTGTCAGTTTATACAGTCGCCTTGAATTTATTAAAAAAATATCCTTCTACGACCAACTTACATAATAAGATATTTTGATGTGTCAGAAAATAACATTATGCTTTCATTGGTTTCACTAACGTCGATTACCCATAGAGGAACATCGCATCCAAGTCTGCATGGAAATGCATGTCATAGCTTATCTCAAACACAGTTAGTGCCACTCACACAAAAAAGTTTATACCACCTCGCTAGTTCACTATCAACAAAAGAAACTTCCAAATAACACCTCTTAACCACAGCCTTGAACGTTTCAGAAACCATCAGCGTAATATTTATCAAAGAATTCATCTTAAGGATCGTTAATTTTAGACTATACAAGAGATCAATAACAGTCTGTCCGCTAAGTCGTGTGTCCCAAAGCGCGGGCCGAATCCACGAAGCGAAGATACAAGCGTCATCTCAACGATGTTTCTTGCAAGTTTGTCTAGAATTATGTCACTAATTTTGATTGCAAAGTTTTACAAAATATCCCAACACAAGCAATCAAGAAAGCATTCAGTTTCAAAGCCTCATTATACTAAAACTAAACCCCACATTCGTTGTGCGTATGACCACATGATTAACATGGAAAAGTTTTCAACTTATCAAAGTTTGCGACGCTCTGCTATCATAATGCCATAGACTGAGAAACTCGGGGCTTCGACTGGTAAAAAAAATAGCTGCTTCAAAAACAGCATCGCATATTCTAGCGCCATGTGAAGGCATGCGCGTGTAAAAAAACGCTTGTTATAATAGCAGCATCGCATATTTCAGCACCATGTGAAGGCATGCGCATCTAAAAGCATGCCTGTTTGAAAAACGACATCGCATGTAATAGTGCCAAGCTGAGGCCAAGCTGAGGCCAATAGAAGACGGAAAATATGACGTGGAAACTTTTCGTTGTTCTTTTGCAAGAAACCACTGCAAGTTCCCAAAGAGAAGATGACCTGGTCACCCACAGATTATGGGCAGGTCATGTGGGTCACCACAAGCTGGAGATGCAGGTCACCACAAGCTGGAGATGCATGTCACCACAAGCTGGAGATGCAGGTCACCACAAGCTGGAGATGCTGGCGTTAGAGGCGCTCATGAAGGCTTTGGCTTGCCCCTTGTTGTCGTGCTCGAGCTGCTGTAGAAACTGCCGCGTCACCTCATCGTTGCGACGTCTCAGGATGTTCAGAGACTCGTAAGCTGACGGAAGTAAACTAGATTAACAATAGGCTACAAAATAAAAAACAATAGCGCCTTTTTTCCATAAATGAGAAAATGCACTAAAATTGAATGCTGGGGATAATAGAGGCAAATAGACTAATAAAATACAACAAAGGGGAAACCTTGGGAAAACAAAGGACACTAGATTGATAATAGACAACAAAATCAACAATAGGTGAAAAACTGTAAAAAGTGCACAAATTAAATCGATAGCATAAACCATAGAGAATAAAGACACTATAGCATTGAATTAAATACAGTTTCTAATCAGCAGAGAGAAATAATACCACTTATCTATATAACGCTGGATGGTTTTAATAGTCCGTGAAGCTAGAAAATATATTCTAGCACATGTACACTAACAATAGAGGCGCGCAGCACGTGTGAAGACGAGGTTCGTGTGAGGCTTTATATATTCTAGCACATATACACTCACACTAGAGGCTGTATACTCACAATAAAGGCTGTACACTCACAATAGAGGGTATACACTCACAATGAAGGGGCGCAGCGCGTGTGAGGACAAGGTGCGTGTGAGGCTTGGAGCGTCTGTTCTCAGGCGAGAGGACAGGCACGTCACTGAGGCTCACCAGCGCCTCACTCATCACCTGCGAGCGCAGGCGTCGGGTGAGCTTCAGCCTCAGCAGCAGGAAGCCTCCGCGCTCTACGCCCGGGCTGTCAGGCCGCACGCTGCCGCTGCAAAATTACCATTTTGTATAATATAGATCTTTATTATTAAGTATAATTTGTAAAAAAAAAGATCGTAGAGCCAAATGAAAATAACCTCCACGTCCGGGCGGTCGGGCGGCACGATGCCACTGCAAAATATTCGTTTTTTTTTTAACATAGATCTTCATTTTAAAAACCGGAGTTTTGACGGTTGAATGTAGAGTCAAATTTGAATAACATGCTTGTTCGCGTGCATTCACAAATTTTTAACTGACAGGGTTCGAACTGTTGCAATTGGAAACTCGAAAACGAGTGAAAAGTGGACTCGGCTCTTGGACCGATCCTGTTCACATCGCCGACATCGACATGGAAGCTACTCACGCATCTAATCGTCATTTGCGGACGATACAAGAGTGCTGATGAGGATCACAGATGACATGACCTGCGAAAGGTTGCAGGATAACTTGACAATCTACGATTGTTCCCTAGTGAATAATATGTAATTCAACGGCACCAAGTTCGAAGTAATAAGATGCAAAGTTGGCACAGAGACCGGGATGCCAAATCGATACTTGGCATCAGACGGCACAGCAATTGAGGAGAAGCAACTAGTTCTCTCGGAGTGTTGATGAATACCGAAGCCATGTTCGATGACCACGTTGAGAGATTAGTTGCACGAAGCAGACAACGGATGGAGTGGATCTAGCGGATATTTTGAACAACAGAAGCGGAGCCAATGATTAAACTTTCTAGGACCCTCGTGCTCCCCGATCTGCAGTACTGTTTCCAGCTATGGGCGCCACTCCAAGCAGGGGCGGTGCGGCTATTGAAGGCTGTTCTACGGACCTTCACGGCCAGGAACAGCGGTACGAGGAACCTACGCTACTGGGACAGGTTGGTGGATCTGGGACTGTACCCACTGGAGACGAGAAGAGGGAGGTATATCTTATTGTACACTTGGGAGATGATAACCGGACTGGCTCCTAATTTTGAAAGTGAGACATCCAGAATAGTGATAAATCACAACGAAAGGAGGAGGATACTTTGCAGGATACCTCTTTTAGCAACCGAACTACGGCCAAAGTTCATACTCGTCGGTAGAGATCTCTTTCCGTGGCAGGACCGAGGCTGTTCGACGCCTTGACGATGGACCTGAGAGGGATGAGATCACCCTTGCCACGTTCAAGAGACCTGATGCGTTTTTAGCAAGATCTCTGATCGTCGTCCGTCTATGCCCACTACCCGCAGCCTAAGCATTTTGCATAACTTGGACTTGGCTCAGATGAGGGAAGATGAACGGGACATGTTCAACGTTGCCTCCGGGACGCAAGGGCGGTGCGACCTGCCTAGCGACGGCTTTGTGACGGAGGACGACGAAGGCGCATAAGCGTAACCATGGACAAGGACTTCCTAAACTTGACATAAACACATAAGAAAACTAAGCACCAAGTCACACCAGCAGGCACCAAGACACACCAGCAGGCACCAAGACACACCATCAGGCACCAAGACACACCAGCAGACACTAAGAATCACTAGGAATAACTCACTAAGTTATTTCCTCGTCGTAGACGGCAGGATCCTCCTTGCACACTGAAGTCTTGCGGTCCAGGGGCGCGTCAGGGAACCATTCGGCAGGCACCAGCTGAGCCTTTACGTACACACCGCCAGCCGACGTCACGCCTGACCCACAATTGTGCGACATTAGTCACTGACCCACAATTGTAGGTCCAGGGGCGCGTCAGGGAACCACTCGGCAGGCACCAGCTGAGCCTTTACGTACACACCGCCAGCCGACGTCACGCCTGACCCACAATTGTGCTACATTAGTCACTGACCAATAATTGTGTGACATTAGTCACTGACCCACAATTGTGTGATATTAGTCACTGACTCACAATTGTGTGACATTAGTCACTGACCCAAAATTGTGTGACATTAGTCACTGACCCACAATTGTGTGACATTAGTCACTGACCAAGAATTGTGCGACATTAATCAAGTCATACTAATATTATTAGTCACAAAAAATAATATTAATTACTCATATTCAATCAATATCAGTCAACTAATTTAAGAGCGTGGCAAAAGAAGTTAGATCAAAAGTCAACTCGAATATTTAAGTGTTGAATATGCATAGCATTTGTAATATTCGTCACTCGCGCCTCTTGGTGGTATATGAGTCTAACAGGAGAATATGACATGAATGAACCATTTATAATGAATAAAACATGTTCTAAACGACATGATTGTCCATAAAACATGTAGGCACGATATTAGTTTAACAGAATAACAAAAGAAAACCTTTGAACATGTTGGATATGACATGACCTTTGAACATGCTGGACATGACATGACCTTTGAACATGCTGGACATGACATGACCTTTGAACATGCTGGACATAACTCAACCTTTGAACATGGACATGACTCGACCTTTGAACATGCTGGACAAGATGTTGGAGGCTTTCTGTGCTGGCGGAGGTCGCAGAGAGCGGCCGGTGTCCTCGGAGGTGTCGCCGATGTTGTTGTTATTGGCGGTGGACGAGATGGACTTGAGGGCGGCCTTGGCCAGACACGCGGCCGACGGGGACTGCACGATGGACACGAACAGGCCCGAGCCTTCCACGAACACGATCTGCAGGCGGGCATGACAATTAGTTAATTACCTTATTTGGTAATAACAACCTAATTAATTACGATAATTGTCATAACAATCTAATTAGATACCCTAATTGGTCATAAAAACCAGTTTAATTACGATAATTGGTCATAACAATCTAACTACCTACCTTAATTGGTCATAACGACCTGTTTAATTACCTTAATTGATTATAACAATCTAACTAATTCCTCCAATAATTGTCATAACAACCAGTTTAATTACCCTAATTGGTCATAAAGACCTGTTTAATTATCATAATTGGTCATAACGACCTGCTTAACTAACACAAGTAGTAGTAAGAACCTGTCTAAAAAGTATTGAGAATGCATATTCAAAATTCAGTACGTCGTAAAAATAAAAATAAAATCTGTATTGCATATAAAAAAATCTGTGTGTCGTAAAAGAAAAAAAAATCAATTTTGCATATAAAAAAATCAGTATGTCGTAAAAGAAAGAAAAAACAGTTCGGTTGGACGTTTTGCCTAAAGAACAAGGTTGACATAGTAAGAGTAGGAGTACATGTAGAGGTACAGACGTTGACAACATGGTAAGAGTAGGAGTACAGGTAGAGGTACAGACGTTGACAAGTAGCATGGTAGCAGAGGTCTGGTCTTCCAGCAGTTGTAGCTGCTGTTCCTGGTAGCGCTGACTGTAGTAGCGGTGCTGTAGCTCTGCCAGCGGCAGCCCGCGCTCCCTGGCAAGACTCAGCTGCTCCTTCCAGCCTGTCAACACGGACATACAACACACCTCATTAATAATAACAATAATAATGACTATAACGTGAATAGTAACAATAAACCACGTTATCAATAATAATAATAATGACAACAACACGATGAGAAACAGGAAACTACGTGATTAATAATAACAATAATAATGACAATACCGTGATTAGTAACAACAAACTACGTGATTATTAATAATAATAATGACAATAAGGCGATTAGAAACAAGAAACTACGTCATTAATAATTATAATGATGACAATACCGAGATTAGAAACAATAAATCACGTGATTAATAATAACAATAGTAATGACAATAACGTGATTAGTAACAACAAGCCACGTCATTAATAATAATAATAACAACACGAACGTAATAACACATCCATTGGCAATAAGGTAATTAGCAACAATAAGTTAGGGTTACAGCTCATATTGCACAAACATTATTACTCAATGAAGAGTTTAGCGTATAATTACGCACACACACGTGAGTTAAGTGATGCCTCCAGCCATCATTACTAATAGGCATAATAGTTATTCTAAATCATTTCAGATTTCAAAATCATTAAATTTTTGCAACAGAATTTTCGCTATAGTGGAGACTAAGCCAGACAAAATGTATTGTGAGCACGAATCTAGCGATGAAATATAACTGAAGGAGATAAGCAAACAATAAATAATGAAAGGAATAGAGAATTATAAAAAGTTACTACTAAATGATATAATGAATGGAATCAAAAATTATAAAAAGTTAGGAATAAGTGAAATAATGAAAGGAATAGAAAATTATTAAAGTTAGGAGTAAGTGAAATAATGAAAGGAATAGAAAATTATTGAAGTTAGGAGTAAGTGAAATATTAAAAGGAATAGAAAATTATAAAAAGTTAGGAGGAAGTGAAATAATGAAAGGAATTTAAAATAGTCAGGTTGACAGAGAGGCAAGTCAAATAAAGGAATGAATATAGAATAATTATGTTTAATGAGCGGTAAGTACTGACGTTCCTCAGCCTGTAGGAGGGACTCCTCCAGCAGGATGCTGCTCGTGAAGAACTGCTGCAGCGCCTCCAGCACCGCTGCCAGCTGCAGGAACTCTTCCTCCTGCACCAGTAAATCTTAATTAATAATCCTTCAGCAACCTTCAATTAAACATAACAATTACTTCAAGATTATTATTATTAATAATAACAATATTATATTGTATTAGTTTTATCATTTTCATCATTTGTTCTTTACTTACTCTTGATCAACTCCTTCGCCTACTCCTTAGAAGACGAAAAATTGTTTAACCACATCATCAATTTATTCTTACTTGACTCTTTCACTAACAACTTCCTAATACGCCGATCAGGCCGTACAATTTCCTTATATCTAATTTATTTAAAAGCCCCTTCAACTTCTCATTGCGCGAAGAGTTGGTTTTTTTTTAGCTCAAACGCTTCAACTCTTCATCGAACTCTTCTTGGTCAATAAATATTGAACTCGAATATCGGAGGATATTTCCGAAAACAAAACGTAACGCAAACAAACTATTATACTGAAAAGAAATCGTAAATCAACCAAGAAAATAACATAAGAATATAATGAAAAAAATTGTGCGTCGTAATTGAGGACAACTCTGGGAGAAAGATATTAATTTTTGATTATATTCACGAAAACAGATGAAGATTTGACACGAGGATTTCGAGTATCAAAAAACTTGTATCAATACAAGATAGCATGTTGGCCAGTATGTCTATAAATCAGTAAATAAGACCATCAATAATANGTCTATGTTTGCACTCTCATTCATATTTAATTCATGTTTAAAGTTATACCAATCTATGTTTATACTCTCATTCATCGTTAATTAATATTTAATTCATGTCTAAATTTGTCTAATTCATGTCTAAAGTTACACTCTCATTCATATTTAATTCATGTGTAAACTTCTACCAGTATATGTTTATAATCTCATTAATATTTAATTCATGTCTAAACTAATACTAGTCCGTGTTTGCACTCTCATTTTCTCACTCGAAAGTCAAATTTGGAAATTTTAAAGCAAAATATTTCTTGAAGTTATTCATACTCACTAGCATCCAAAATTCAATTCTTCTATCGCTTAATTTCCTCACTAAAGAGTCACGTTCAGCAATATTTACACGTGGATATTTCTCGGTCTTATTTACTAAAACATAAAAAATTTCATTAAAAAAAGATAAAAACATAAAAAAATTCGTATTCGACCGTCCTCATGGAAACATGCGCACCTCATGGCAACATGCGCACCTCATGGCAACATGCGCACCTCATGGCAACATGCATACCTCATAGCAACATGCGCACCTCATGGCAACATGCGCACCTCATGGCAACATGCGTCATGGCAACATGCGCACCTCATGGCAACATGCGTCATGTCAACATGCGCACCTCATGGCAACATGCGTCCCTCACGGCAACATGCGTCATGTCAACATGCGCACCTCATGGCAACATGCGTCATGTCAACATGCGCACCACATGGCAACATGCGTCATGGCAACATGCACACCTCATGACAACATGTCTCATGAGCAACATGCGCACCTCATGGCAACATGTGCCCTTCATGGCAACATGCGCACCTCATGGCGACATGCGTCATGGCAACATGCGCACCTCATGACAACATGCGTCATGGCAACATGTGCAGCACAAGACAACATGCGTCACGACAACATGCGTCACGACAACATGCGTCATAGCAACATGCGCACCTCATGGCAACATGCGCACCTCATGGCAACATGTGCACCTCATGGCAACATGCGCACCTCATGGAAACATGCGCACCTCATGGTAACATGCACACCTCATGGTAACATGCGCACCTCATGGCAACATGTGCACCTCATGGAAACATGCGCACCACATGGCAACATGTCTCATGACAACATGCGCACCTCATAGCACATTTTGCGGGCGGCCTTGTAGGGCATGAGGCTGAGGACATGGTGGGCCTCCTGCATGGCTGTCCTGCTGGGGTCCAGACGAAGGAGGGCGCTCGAGAGCTCCTCCTTGAGGTCACACAGCGCGCTCATCACCAGACATGCCTGCGTAATATTTGTGTGTGTTATTTTACGAGGAAGACATAACTATATTTGATAAATAACTTTTAACACAACATTTGTCTGTGTTACTTCACGAGGAAGACATAACTATCTTTAATAAAAAAATTTAACACAACATTTGCGTGTTACTTGACGAGTAAGACATAATTATATTTAATAAAAAACTTCAACACAACATTCGCGTGTGTTATGTTACTTGACGAGGAAGACGTAACTATATTAATAAAAAACTTTAACACAACATTCGCGTGTGTTACTTGACGACGGAGGTATAACTATATTTATTAAAAAAGGTTAACACAACATTTGCGCGTGTTACGTGACGAGTAAGATATAATTATAATAAACAATTTAGCCTTAGGTTACTTAGGTTACACAGAAGTTGGTTAGCGTACAAATCATCTATTGATTCTAATTTAATATTCGAATTCGAATTTAATATTCATAGCTATCTTTAATAAACAACTTTAACTTGGGTTACACAGCCGTTGGTTAGCGTACAAATCATCCCTAGATTCAGTAAACAACATTGCCACACAATTTCAGAAGTCTTACAAAAAACGTGAAGTTGAAAAAAATTGCTTATGCATCAAAATTTCATATTATTCTGCTATAAAACGCACTAAATTATGTCACATGCGAATTTCAGCCTTGATTTCACTAAAATTTATTTTTTATTTTGGTTACAAAAAATGCTAGGAAGGTTTCGCTACCTAAACAAAAGGCAATTTCTTCAATGATGAAAGCCAATATGTCGTGTATTTATAACAGTCCGCTAGGTACTCCCCCATCTGGAGATGATATTGGGGGGCGCTAGTCCGCTAACAGTCAATAACGAGCATAAATATGATAAAACTAATGTAATATAATAATAATAACTCTAAACAAGAGTTCGCTGAAGGTACCCACCCATCTGGAAATGTTGTTGGGGGGCGCTAGTCCCGGGTAACAGTCGCTATTGAGTATAACTATGATAAAACTAATACAATATAATAATCATATTAATAAACAAGAGCTCGCTGCAGGTACCCACCCATCTGGAGATGGTGTTGGGGGGCGCAGGCCCCCTGCAGTAGTCGCTGTAGAGGCTCTGCCAGAAGGAGTTGAGGTGATAGGTGAGCTGCGACCCCAGGAACCTCAGCATCTCAGGGGGACACGCGCCCCCCGACCACACCAGGCGCTCGGTCTTCTCCACCACCTCAACAAACAATACATGTAAATATTTCTATTTGTATTACTTGCACCAACAAGAGATATTTATTTCAGCTTCAAGCTACTGCCATAACAATAGATATTATTTCTCTTTCCATCATCAGAGGTGACAATAAATAATATCAATTCTGTTCCAAACACTTGCAGTAAACTAAATATTGTTATGTCTGTTTTATGCACCTGCAGCAAGAATAGATATTATTTCTAAAAATATTTTCTCAGGAAGAAAACGATCAAATTTTCAACTAACATCTCCATTTCTCCGTAAGTGGAAAAATGAACCCATTATTTTTAGAAGTATAAATGCATCTTTACTGTCCACATTAGGAAAACAAAAAAGTATCACGATGATATTTATACGAATTAAACTTAAATATTAACTGCAAATACAAAGAATAACTTAATCAAGCGTGCCCTACCATTTCACTCAGTGAAATTATCGTGACTTTGTTCAAAAATCGATGCTCTTTTCCATCTTGTGAGTTAGTAACTGACCCAGTCATGCCAGAAAGAAGGCGTATCAGTGCTATGTTCGCTTTCTACTTGTGCTGTATGTGAGAAAGTGTCACAATTTAAACAATTTGACCTAATAATTTCCCCGAGGTTGGGGTCTCACCGGCTTTACGAAGTCTACCATATCGGAGAAAGTGTGTCACAATTTAGACAATTTGACCCAATAATTTCCCCGAAGATTATTTTATTGTAAAAAATTAAGTATGAATGTAATGCATATCAAGACAGCGCACAGTGAAAAATATTAAACTATATTTACTGTTAATGTATGGAGAAAAGTGCCTGTACGCCTTCACTCAAACTGCCCGAGAAAATAATTATTTCATTGTAAAAAATTAACTATAAATGTAATATATATCAATACAGATTACAGTGAAAAATATTAAACTATATTTATTATTAATGAATAGACATGAGTGCCTGTACGCCTTCACTCAGACTGCCCGCAATAATAATTAGTTCATTGTGAAAAATTAAGTATAAATGTAATACATATCAACAAATATTACAATGAAAAATATTAAATTATATTTACTATTAATGAATAGATTTAAAGGATAAATACATAATTCTAAACATCTACGCTTCACGTAACACGTCAAGTATAACACGGCACACCTCTTATAACACGTCATGTATAACACGTCATGTATAACACGTCACCTGTTGACGCTGCTGAAGCTCTCACACAGGGACCACACGTCACACACGTCACCTGTTGATGCTGCTGAAGCTCTCACACAGGGACCACACGTCACACACGTCACCTGTTGATGCTGCTGAAGCTCTCACACAGGGACCACACGTCACACACGTCACCTGTTGATGCTGCTGAAGCTCTCACACAGGGACCACACGTCACACACGTCACCTGTTGATGCTGCTGAAGCTCTCACACAGGGACCACACGTCACACACGTCACCTGTTGATGCTGCTGAAGCTCTCACACAGGGACCACACGTCACACACGTCACCTGTTGATGCTGCTGAAGCTCTCACACAGGGACCACACGTCACACACGTCACCTGTTGATGCTGCTGAAGCTCTCACACAGGGACCACACGTCACACACGTCACCTGTTGATGCTGCTGAAGCTCTCACACAGGGACCACACGTCACACACGTCACCTGTTGATGCTGCTGAAGCTCTCACACAGGGACCACACGTCACACACGTCACCTGTTGATGCTGCTGAAGCTCTCACACAGGGACCACACGTCACACACGTCACCTGTTGATGCTGCTGAAGCTCTCACACAGGGACCACACGTCACACACGTCACCTGTTGATGCTGCTGAAGCTCTCACACAGGGACCACACGTCACACACGTCACCTGTTGATGCTGCTGAAGCTCTCACACAGGGACCACACGTCACACACGTCACCTGTTGATGCTGCTGAAGCTCTCACACAGGGACCACACGTCACACACGTCACCTGTTGATGCTGCTGAAGCTCTCACACAGGGACCACACGTCACACACGTCACCTGTTGATGCTGCTGAAGCTCTCACACAGGGACCACACGTCACACACGTCACCTGTTGATGCTGCTGAAGCTCTCACACAGGGACCACACGTCACACACGTCACCTGTTGATGCTGCTGAAGCTCTCACACAGGGACCACACGTCACACACGTCACCTGTTGATGCTGCTGAAGCTCTCACACAGGGACCACACGTCACACACGTCACCTGTTGATGCTGCTGAAGCTCTCACACAGGGACCACACGTCACACACGTCACCTGTTGATGCTGCTGAAGCTCTCACACAGGGACCACACGTCACACACGTCACCTGTTGATGCTGCTGAAGCTCTCACACAGGGACCACACGTCACACACGTCACCTGTTGATGCTGCTGAAGCTCTCACACAGGGACCACACGTCACACACGTCACCTGTTGATGCTGCTGAAGCTCTCACACAGGGACCACACGTCACACACGTCACCTGNGTTATCTCACGTCCTAAAGATAGGGTCGTAGAAGTGCTTGGCGACGTCCAGGTAGTCTACGATGACGGGCATGAGGAGGCCCACGACCTTCAGTCTGAGCGACATCTCGACCACCTCGTCCTCGTCAGGAGGCGCCTGCTCGTCCCGCTGGTACGTCAGCATCGGGGTGGGCACCTCCGCCCCCACGAACGGCAGGGGGCGGTATGTGCCCAGCCTGTCATCATGGAATATATAGATAAAAATATATTATATAATTTATGAGGAATCGAGAGAAGAAATATAAATATAACATTGATGTGCATTTGATAGTTGAATAAATTAAAGTTGACGTGCACCGACTATATAATTGCGTTAATCTGCGCCTGAAATTAATAAATAACATTATTAACCGCTTTACAAGAGAGATGCAGACACGAGTGTCTGCACGGTATACTGGTGTCTGCACGGTACACTGACTGTGCAGAATGCTCCTGCACTCACCGTTTCTCCACGAGCTCGGCGAGGTACGCAATTTGTTTGTTGTTCTCGAACTGACGTACGTTGCGTACGAAGTTCGTGAGCATCGCCGGCATGGCCTCCACCATCGCTGGTACCTGCAGTGGTAGCGCTACCACTGCACAATAAAACATAAACTATAAGTAATAAATAGCAATAGTAAATAAATAATAGCAAGCAAACATAATTTATCGCATGCTTGAAAAACGAAAAAGTAATTTATTTAGTGGTTGAACACTAACAATTAGTGATTAGTAGCTGATGTGGTCATTGATCGAAGAACGAAAATAGAGAAAATGAAGAAGAATGACAGATTATATTCAAATATTTGAAATATAACTTAATGCCCCTGAATAAATAGCACTAACAAGTAAGAGTGGAAAAATCACTTCTGTCACGCCATCCCACACCTAACTCGGCTATCGTACATTAAGTTTGTTAACTTTTCTAATTAAGTGCAAACTTGATTAGCATAGCGCTGTGTAAAGGGACTGCAGCACTCACCCTGCTGCTCATGCTGCACTCCATGCTGCACTCACCCTGCTGCTCATGCTGCACTCCATGCTGCACTCACCCTGCTGCTCATGCTGCACGCCATGCTGCACTCACCCTGCTGCTCATGCTGCACGCTGTGCTGCACTCACCCTGCTGCTCATGCTGCACGTTGTGCTGCACTCACCCTGCTGCTCATGCTGCACGCTGTGCTGCACTCACCCTGCTGCTCATGCTGCACGCTGTGCTGCACTCACCCTGCTGCTCATGCTGCACGCTGTGCTGCACTCACCCTGCTGCTCATGCTGCACGCTGTGCTGCACTCACCCTGCTGCTCATGCTGCACGCTGTGCTGCACTCACCCTGCTGCTCATGCTGCACGCTGTGCTGCACTCACCCTGCTGCTCATGCTGCACGCTGTGCTGCACTCACCCTGCTGCTCATGCTGCACGCTGTGCTGCACTCACCCTGCTGCTCATGCTGCACGCTGTGCTGCACTCACCCTGCTGCTCATGCTGCACGCTGTGCTGCACTCACCCTGCTGCTCATGCTGCACGCTGTGCTGCACTCACCCTGCTGCTCATGCTGCACGCTGTGCTGCACTCACCCTGCTGCTCATGCTGCACGCTGTGCTGCACTCACCCTGCTGCTCATGCTGCACGCTGTGCTGCACTCACCCTGCTGCTCATGCTGCACGCTGTGCTGCACTCACCCTGCTGCTCATGCTGCACGCTGTGCTGCACTCACCCTGCTGCTCATGCTGCACGCTGTGCTGCACTCACCCTGCTGCTCATGCTGCACGCTGTGCTGCACTCACCCTGCTGCTCATGCTGCACGCTGTGCTGCACTCACCCTGCTGNCCCACCCCCTCACCACTCCCACTCTCGCCCCGCAATCCCCATGTACAACACTTCCCTCAAAACCTCCCCAGCCTCCATTCTCCACTCATCCCGCACTCACCACCTCTTCCGCCTCAACATCCCACTCACCCCCTCGCCTCATTCACCACTCATCCCCTCACCTCACACTCTTCATTCACCCCTCACCCCAGTCATCTCACCACTCACCACTCACGCCCCTCACCACAGCTCGGTGTATTTCCTGACGGCGAACACGACGCTGGCGCGGAGGTCGGGCACGCCGAGCTCCGCCACGTC